TACTGAGAAAAACACTACTCTTCCTAAAAACTCATATCTAATAAGCAAATCCAGCAAAGTAGGGCAAAATCAACACAGAAAAACCACCAGTTTTTTCTATTTATCAGTGAACTCACTAACAAATTAGGGACATATCCCATGACAACTTTGAGTCTTAAGAAAAAACACTCGGGACTGGAGAGATGGCTCAGAGGTTAAGAGCACTGACTGCTCTTCCAGAGATCCTGAGTTCAATTCCCAGCAACCATATGATGGCTCACAACCATCTGTAATGAGATCTGGTGCCCTCTTCTGGTGTGCAGATATATATGGAAACAGAATGTTGTATACATAATAAATAAAATCTTTTTAAGAAAAAGAAAAAACACTCAGTGTCCTCCTTTTGCATCTCTAATGCTATGCTAAAACATTGACCAAAACTAACTTAGAGGAAAAACTGCATGTCATCATACAAATCCAGGATCACAGTCCATTTTGAGGAAAGTTAAGGCAGAAACTTAAGGAAGGAACCTGGAGACAGGAACTGAAGTTGAGACCTCTGATGAATGCTTACTGGCTTGTGTTGTGGGATATTTTACACTGTGTGAAGATGCTGTTGTAATAAAAAGCTGAACAGCCAAGAGGTATAGGCCGGATTTCTGGGGAGAGAAAGAAAGAGGAAGTATCTAGGCATGGAGGAGATGCCAGGAGACATGGAGATGAAACAGGAGGTGCAAGATGGAAGAGAGGTAAGGCCACATGATAGAACATAGGTTAATATAAATGGGATAATTTAAGTTAAAGAGCTAGTTAGTAACACGCCTAAGCTATAGGCTGGGCTTCCATGATTAATCAGAAGTCTCTGTGTCATCATTGGGAGCTGGCTGGCAGGACAGGCTTTCTTCCTCAGCTGCCTTTTTTTTTCTTTTTTAAGATTTTAAATATAGTCTTCTGCCTGAATGTGCCGTGAAGGCCAGCAGAGGGCAGCAGATCTCATTCAAGGTGGTTGTGAGCCACCATGTGGTTGCCAGGAATTGAACCCAGAACCTCTGGAAGAACAGTCAGTGCTCTTAACCTCTGGGCCATCTCTTCAGCTCTGTCAGCTGCCATTTTTTATAAAACCCATGATTACCTGCCCAGGGGCAGCTCTGCCAACATGGGGCTGTCCCCTTCCTCAGTCAGTAATCAAGACATGACCATGGACTTCCAACAGAGGCAATTCTTCAACTGAGAGTTCTTCCCAGATGATTCTGGTTTGCATCAAATTGAGAAAAACTAACACAATCTCAATGGAAATAGAGGGGAATTCTCTTGCAGAATTGGATAAAATTTAAAAGTGAAATGGAACTGTAAGAAATCTACGACAGCAAAAGGTAACTGATAAATAAAACAACAAAACTGAGAACTTCTACTCTATGTGTTTAAGAAATGCACTATATATAGTAGGGCAACAGATATTTTTGAGTTAATATTTATTCTGCCACTTTGCTGAAGGTGTTTATCAGCTGTAGGAGTTCCCTAGTAGAGTTTTCAGGTCACTCATGTAGACTATCATATCATCTGCAAATAGTGAAAGTTTGACTTCTTCCTT